TGAAAAAAAGATATGTTATGAAGAAAAATAAACTAAACATGATTTGCCTGAGCATTACATCCAAATTCCTTGCCAAATTTGAAATAAAAATAAATTACGAAAAAGAAATACTAATAATAAAAATAACAAAAAATAAAAAAAGAATTAAATTGAGTGAGTTCGCGAGCACGTTTTCGACACCGCCATCTTTGGCGATTTTTCATTTTTTTTTGGAATAGCTAAATTCCATGAAAATTTAGACATGTTTACTTCACATAATGCAAAACACACTAAAAGAGTTAAAAAAAATAATAAAATTGTTTAGACCTCGAACTAAAGTGAAAACAAAAAGTAAAAAGTGAAAAAAAACGTGGGCAAGCACGTTTTGACACCGCCATCTTTGGCGATTTTTAATTCTTATTTGGCTGAGTCAAACGACTTGAAAATTTACAGGCGTGTACCTCACGTCATAGAGTACTCACAAAAAAAAATTCAGAAAAAAAAAGTATTTTTAGGTCCCGAAATAATGTTTGGCGGGGGCCGAACACCGTCGGGTTCAGACCCCGTACGGGACCCCGAACGCCCGTACGTACGGGCTGGTAACCCTGCATATAACAGTTTTTTTTTTTTTTTTTTTTTTTTTTGAGAAAATCAGAACCTTATGGTTCTGGCTCCTGCCATTCTGGGGAGCAACAGTCCGGTTCCTTTTACGCGATGTTTTAAATGGTTGCAATATTCCGATGACTCAACTTTCATAGGCGTATTCCGAATGCTGCGCAGTGCAGTACCCACGACCACCAGTCGGTTTCCCAGCCATTTTTCCAAAGTCTGCTTGCATGATGGCGCAACGTTTTGGGCTTGGCCGCCAGAGCGAAACGGTCGGCGTGGCCAGCCAAAAGGAGGAGGCTACGCCCGCTACGGTTCGTTTTTTTTCCTGCGTACTGGTCGCTTAAGCACATGAGGTGCATGCGTACACACCTGTCGCCTTTCAGCACACCTGCTCGGCACCCACACCTTACACGCAGGAGCAGGTGTGTAGGGGTGGGTGGGGTTGTGGGAGTTGAAGAGCAGGTAAGTCACTGCAGGCATGGCGCCAACTACCCCTGCCAGACAGATGTTCACCGGACCGGTGGGAGGAAGTGGCAAGACAACTGCTTCTTGAGAAGCGACGTATTACAGTCTGGTACGGGAGGGTTTATTGCAGCTCGGCACCCCCGTGGAACAGCTGGGTCAAGAGAGGGGTGATAAAAATCCAGGATTTATGGGAGGGAGAAACAAAAAACTGGAAAACGGCTGAACAACTGAAAGCCTCCCTGAGAAACTGCCACAACATCGAAAAGAAGTTAAAAAAACCTGGAAGAGGCTGGTGATCTTTGAAGGGTCCCGGGCGGCCTGGGTGATCTTTGCAGTCCCTTTAGATTGGGTACGCATTCTACGAAAAGGTCCGCAATTAAAAGAGAGCGACTGGGTAGCAATTCCGGAGGAGAGTGTGCGGAGTGTGGTGGTGGTTGATACCCACAAAGTGCTGGTTATCTTAAGTGTGATTTTTGCAGCTTCTTTCCCCACACAGACAAGCCCCAATTTTTTTATTTTTATTTTTGTTCTCTGTGGAGCATCAGCCCTGTTGATTATCACCGGCAACGATGGCAAGCATCAAGATTCAAGACACAGTTTATCAGCAAGCTCAATTTTTTACCGAAGTGAAAATGGTTTCTTTTTTTCTTTTTCTTTCCACACAGACATGCACACACAAGCCCCAACCTTTTTTTTTTTTTTCCGGGGAGAATCAGCCCGGTTGATTATCACCGGCAAGCTCACTTTACGTAGTGGTTAAGTGATCCATCCCTTTGATGGCATGTTACAGGTTCGATACCTAGTGTTCATCTTTCATCGTGGACTTCTTGTGTGTTCGCAAACACAAAAAGACGAGAGACGGGAAGGAAAAAAAAGCGAGGGGGGGGGGGGGAGGAAGGAGAGGAGGGGATAGGAAAACGTATCTCCTATTTCATTTCACAAAGATGGGCGAAAAATCAAACACACAGGCCATCACAAGATACACGACCACAAAAAGTCGATAAACGACATCACCGTTTAGAAAACACAAGAATGATCCAAGAGAAACCGCAACAGACGGGCTCAAGAATCCACCACTACTCTCCTTCCTACCTTCTCCCCAGAGACTGTACCATCCTTCCACACACCTGTCATTTCACATAGAATCGGACATTTCGACACCCTTTCTAAAAGTTTTTTTCCTTTCAGCAAAAAGTTCATTACTTCCTCACATTTAATCAATACTTATAAATTATTAGTCATGGGGAAGACAGAAGAAGCAGGCAAGATGGAGAAGGGG